CTCAGAGGAGCTGGACCACAATTCGAGTTCCTTTCCAGAGCCGGAGGGCACCCAGAAATGGGCCGGGATGGGAGCCGGGCAGTGACCTGCCCGCGGCCACATCTAACTGGGCGCTCAGGTCCCTCCCCAGGCACAGCCGCGAAGGACACGGGCCTGGAGTCGGGCTCGGCCAGCTTCCCCCTGTGGGACCTGTGTTAACAGAGCGGCAGGCAGGAGGCCGCCAGCCTCGGGGAGCCGCCCAGCCGCGCCTGGCACCTGTCGGAGCTGTGCTTCCGCCCCCACCCTGCAGGTCCCAGGAGAACTCCAGCCCCACCAGAAGGGCTGAGAGAGCAGCAGGGCGGGCTCCCGGCAACTCTGCTCCCAGCGCCACGACGGAGGAGCCTAAGGAAGGAAATCTGGGAGGCAACGTAGCGCCTGAGGGTCTGAAAGAGAGCCGGGGCTCACAGCAAGTGTCTGGGGGGCCCAGGAGGCTTGGCTACTTCCTCCGTGGGGTCTGAGGAGAACCCTGAGCTTGAGGAAGAACCACAGCCTCTGCAGGGGCTGGCCCCGCACCTCCCCAAGCCTTTCCATCAGGCTGCGTCCTGGCCCCTGGACCCCGTGGAAAAGAGATAGTCCTTCTCCTTTGTGAAAACCCCAATAAATAAGCCATTTGGTCCCCTAGTACCGGTAGGCGGGATTCCCTCATCAGTACAAAGGCCTTTAAGGAAATGTCCTACGAATGGTTTGGCACAGATAGCAGCGGTGGTTCATCCACCCCCATCCTCGCCAACCCACCCTGCCCAACTTCCTGCCCCTTCAGGCCTCAGCAGCCTCGGGAGGACACGCGGAGTCGTTAAGTCACTGCCCACCTCCCTTCCTCACGGGGTTGCTGTCTATCACCCTCGGAGAGGGAGGGGATGAGGTCAGACTGCACTCCCACCACTGGCCCCATCCAGCCAGAGGCCCAGGGCGCCACCTGAGTGAGGGGAGGGGCAGACAGCTGTCAAGCAGTCATGTGCTTCACTCAGCTGGAATTCCCCCACGCCCAGAGCATTCGTTATTAGGGAAAGCCGAATCCACGTCCTCCCCTGTGTTCCTGCTGGGGTCCTGGGGTTGCCGGCAGCATGCATGATACTCCAGGAATCTCAGGCATGCAGGATCCCAAGAGGACTCCTGGCATGAGGCAGACCCACCACACCTGGTTCCCCACCAACACTCATCAGACATTTCACCGGCCCACCCACCACCCTGCAGAGTGCTCCCCAACTTCTCTCTCCTTTGCAGAAGCTCCTATACCAGAGGCTTAAGGATTGGGGTTTCCTGTGTCCAGGGTGGCAGCAGAGCCCAGCCCACCACACTGACCACGGGAACTCGAACTGGGTCATCAGGAGTTGGGAGACACTGAGAGGAAGGAGACTGGCTGGGGCAATTTCCTACTACTCCCTACCTGCACAATCTCAAGCACTTTCCCATTTCAACCCAACTAAGGTTCTCCTCTGCTCTGCCTCGTCTCGGCAAACGTCATTGATGCTCCCAGTCGTAGACACACAGCAGTCTTGATGCCTTCCAACACAAAGAGGAGAAGATAAAACCATGCCTTCCTTAGTAAAGAGTTCCAAGGTCCCCCAGTCTGGAAAGACAGGAGGATTCCCCATGTGAAAGAGGAAGGGGCAGGTGACACAACCCTGACTTTGTTTCCCCACTCCCTTGAGGCTCTCTCACAGATCACCGACAGAGCCACCTAGAAGGCTGGGGAGACTGTGTGAAGTCCCTATCAACACTGGGGGCCGACTGTGAACACACATCCTTCCCCTCAAGGACCCTTAGCACAGGCTGGGATATGTAGACAAGACTCTCCAGGAGGCCCAGAAGTCACAAGGAGCTCATAATTCCAGAGAATCTAGCCTGCAAGGTGTTGCCCTCTATTGTTTCCACAGGCAGTGAGGACATCACTCCCCTGGAGATTCGAGTCATTGGGCCCGTCTGGAATGAAACTCGGGAATTTAACTTTCAACGATTATCATGGTTCTTATCATGGTGCCTAGGGCCATTTTCCAAGGTTTACTTCCTATCTCTGGATCCATTCCTTTCCTACAACCCCCTGGAATGATGACCCCCTTCGGGGGAGACCCACCACCCACATGGCCTCAGTCCTCTGCACGGCAACCGCATCAGAAGGCCAGCAGGCACATCACATGAGGATGTCACAGAGGCCACCCTAGCTCCTCCTGCCCCTCTCCTCACCCAACTCCAGCCTCTCAGGTGGACATTGGGTGAACACATACTTGCCTTCCCCCTCACCCTCTGAAAACCTGCTTCCCTTCCCCTGCCCCATTCCTCCTTAGCTGTTACATGGAAGAAATACCAAAGGGACCTTATCTATAAAAAATTGCTTGGGTTTCAGAACTGGTTGATTGGGTTAGTCCCCTTAACTGATCCCAGGGGAGGACAAAGACCTCACAAGAAGGGGTTTTTACAGTGTAGAGGCCGCATGGCAGCACAACCCACCTTGCACAGGTAGTCGCACCAGAATTTGCCGGCCTCATCACTATTTTCTGAAAGGTGGGGCATCACACATCCCAACACTACAGGAGGAACATCTGGAGTAAGATTTCTGCTGCTACTGATGATAATGTTTGGTGTTCAAAAGCAAGTAACGCACATGAAAAGAGGCTCAACATTATTAGTCATTAAGGAAATTCAAATCAAAACCATAATGAGATACCACTTCATACTAACTAGGATGGCTATAGCAATAATAATAAAACCCAGGAAACAACAAGTGTAGGTGAGGATGTGGAAGAATTGGAACTCTCATACATTGCTGGGAGGAGTGTAAAAAGGCGCAGCCTCTGTGGAAAAGTTTTCAGTTCTCAAAAACTTAAACACAAAGTTAGCGTATGACCCAGCAATTCTCTTCCTAGATCTATTTCCAAAAGAACTGAAAACAGGTAATCCAACAAACATTTGCACACAAATGTTCATGGCTGCACTATTCACAGCAGCTGAAGTGCAGACACAACCCAAGTGTCTATCACGGATGAATGAATAAACAAACTGTGGCATATACATTCAATGGAATATTACTCAGCTCTGAAGAGGAATGAAGTATGGATACATAGTACAACGTAGCTGAATCTCGAAAACATCACGCTAAATGAAAGAAGGCAGACACAAAAGGTCACATCTTGTATGATCCCACTTATGTGAAATACCCAGAAAAGGTAAACCTGTAGAGACAGAAGCAGATTGGTGGTTGTGGGGCAGGGCAGATGGGGCATGACTGCTTAATGGGATGGGGTTTTATTTGGGGGTGATGAAAATATTTTGGAATTAGAGGTAGTGGTTATACAACATTGCAAATGTACTAAATGCCACTGAATTGTTCACCTTAAAATGGTTAATTTATGTTATAAATTTAAAAAAAATGTTAGCACATATAAAGTAAAAGGCAAATAAAATCAAGTAAGTGCACCAGGTGGGTTTTCCAAAGCTGTCATCCTTTGCCAGACCTTAATAAGCAAAGGATGCATCTCCCTCCAACTAAAGGATTGGCCCAGCTCTCCCGCCTGGGGTTTCAGTCCTGCATAAACACCTGCACACTTAGGGGCCCCGTCAATGCCGTCGCTTCTTCTGTCCGCACTTTGCTGAACACGGCAGAGACTGATGGGGGAATCGACCTCCCTAACCAGAAGGTCAGACTGACACCTCAGCATTTCTCACTGCTTGTTTATTAGCTATAAAACTAAAATATCCAGTTACAAACCCCAACTTGAAGCCATTAAAAAGGCTCTTGATTATACACGACTATAAATGTTTAAAACTAATTCTACCTGGAAGGTTCAGCTTAATCGTTTTAAACAAATAACACAGAAGGAAGTGATGATAATCGACTCTTTGTTCTCATTTTAAAATGTGAATAATTAACCTTCCAGGAAAAAAAGTAGAATTTTAAGGGCAGTTCAGTCCAATAAAAGTCCACTGTAGAAGCAGATCAGTACGGCTGGTACAGACCGCCACCCTGATTTATCTCTGGGGCCTTCCCAGGAAATCAGTCATTACTTCAGTTAAACTATTGGAACATTAATGCCCTTAAGTTCTGCTTTCAGGCACTTAAATGCTGGATAATACTGATTTTTAAGGGGATTATGGCTTGTGTAAAACACATAAAAAGTTCACATTTTTGCTACATCAGTTGTGTTACCAAAAATGCTAGGTTACTACAGATTTCATATTCTAAAGATCACTTTCTCCCAGGTAGAACTCCTAATACTTGGTGATTATTTCTTAAGGTTTATATCCAGAATTAAATAAATATCGATTATTGTGCCTAACTGTACAAAAGCTCTCATCCGGCAGCAGCCTCACAAGAGTACACCTCGGTGGTCCAGACAGTTTGGCTCCGGTACATTATCAGACAGAGAGGCACGTCCTTCCTGGACCTCTGCAGAGGACTCCAGTTACAAAGTACCCAAAGACATGTCTTCTCCAGAAGTGTCACTTCCCCGTAAGGAGACTTCAGGACACCAGGATGCTGGTAGCTGCCCCAGTGTAAATTACCTGATTACCCTAAGCAGCTCCTTCAAACTGAAAGGAAGAGGAGAAAGGGGGAGGAGAGAGAGAGGGAAGAGAAGAAATTAGGAGAGTAATCTGGTCTCTGCCCCAGAAGCAATTAACACTGGAAACGGCACGGTCCAAGCTCCACATTAACAGCTGTTTCTAGCTGGCCTTCAACAGCCCGGGGAGAGACGCGCCCAGCGTTCAAGAACCATCTAGATGGGTTCAAAGCCCAACCTCACGTTTAGAAGCGGTGTGACCTTGAACAAGTTGATTAGCCTCCCGAGCCTTTGTTTCTTCATCCACAGACCTCCTGGAGCAGCAGGTCTCAATGAGACAACCAGCTCAAGTGCCTGCCGGCTGCAGGCTCTTCGCCTCTCCCGCGGTCTGAAGCACAAACAGCTTAACCGGGAGGGCCGGTTACTGATGCTGACACTGTACCAGGGAAGTCAGAACACAGCCAGTGCCATTGGATTTTTTATTAAAAAACAAGTTATATAAAAAAGTGAACAATTCTATATAAAATTGAGCTGGAGCCCACAGTTCACGGTGGGGAAGGCTCAGAGGATGGAGACAAAGATGCGGCTGCCGCGGTTTCTTTCTCTTCATATCTGGGCGGCGATTCAGAGGAGAGACATGGAGTGTGTGGGATCCCAGAGGAGGAGGTGGTCCCAGAAATCGTATAGACAGGTGCACAGTCTCCCTCCGAGGCCGCGCCTTGGCCCTCTGGAGCTGGGGTCCTGCTGAGAAGAAGGAGAATGTGACAGGGAGAGAGGGAGACAGTCACACGCCCCAGTACAGGGTTCTTTTCAAACATTTAATCCTACACATTTAGGAGCATTTGCAAGGCTCTAAGGATGATGTCCTCCATTTTCTGTTTCGTACAGACATCTATTCCTGACTCCTTACTCTCCTCACTAGCGATTGTAACGTGAAGATGGTCTCCCTCCTGTTGTCATTCCCCTCATAACTGAAAAGGCACAGACTGCAAACGCACAGATGCCATCCACAAAGCACACACAGGGACTGTTCTCTGCTAGGGTGTCCCTGAGACCGCTAATGTAAGGTAGACAAGCTTATGCAAATAGAAAATTAAACCATTAAGCCACAAACTGGAAGGGAAGCAGGAAGGTTGATGGAGCGGCTCTGGCACCAGGCAGACCTGCATCTGCATTTCCGCTCTGCTGCTTTCTAGCTGTGCGATCTTGGGCAAGTGGTTAACCTCTCTGAGCCTCCGTCTCCTTGTCTATAAAGGGGGATGATATGGTGCCTACTTCCTGAGTGTGTATGAGAATTGCACGAGGTGACGCAAGGAAAGCCAGGCTCTGGCACACAGAAGTCATAGTAGCAGCAGGAGTAGTTCTTTAAGTTAACAGACATTTGTTTTAGGGCTTGGGGCAGTTCATCATTGGAGAAAAGAATGCAAAATTCACTAACAGAATTCTACAAACGTCCAAAACCTAACCTCCCCTTCGTCCATGCAGGGCAATCCCTACATTCATCTTTGGTCGGATCTCCAGCTCACTAGCCCGTCTGAAGCACGAGAAGAAGAGCTGGATTAAACCATGAATGGCCAGGTAAGGCAGTGCCCCACCCCCCAAAGTGCTCCCTGAGTCTCTCAAGTCCTGCTGCCCTGCTTTCAAAAATGCACGTGGCTCTGGCCAGCCCTGGTGGCCTAGTGGTTAAGTTGGCATGCTCCACTTCAGCAGCCGGGGTTTGGTTCCCAGGCACGCACCTACACCACTCGTCTGTCAGTGACCATGCTGTGGTGGCGGCTCACGTACAAAAAGAGGAAGATTGGCAGCAGATGCTAGCTCAGGGCGAATCTTCCTCAGCAAAAAAAAAAAAAAAAAAAAACACATCTCAATGTCTCGAAAGTTGACTCTCGCTGAGCCATGCTCTCCCCCCACTCTGCACTGTGAAATTTTTCAGCAATCCTTCTTTTACTTTCTGCACCCTGGTTTCCCACTTGGGAAGGGACCAGAGCCTCTTCCAGCCTTGCTCCTCCCCAGCACTTCCTGAAGTCCTCCCATCACACCCTCCCCTCCCATGGATTTTCCACAGGTCTCTGACTCGCTGCCCTCCTGGTTACAGCAACCTCTCCGAAGTTCCATCTCCAGCACCTCATCTCTCTCCCAAGTCCCAGCCCACCCAGTCACCTCAAAGGCCCACATCTCGCCATCACTCCACGGCAAGCCAGCTCACCATCTTCTCCCCGCTTACACCCAGCCCGGGTCCCACCTCCTGCTCAGTCAGGGACATTCCACTGTCCCTGTCACTCAGCCTTGACCCATGACCTCTGCTCTTCCTCGCTGTCATCCTCCATGCCAGATTCCCTCCCACACTCCTCCCCTTGCTAACCACCACAGTTCCAGGCTCCTGTCGCCTCAGGCCTGTCCACCAGAGTCAGCCTCCTAACCAGTCTGGCCACCTTCAGCCTCTCCAGCACGAACTGTGCTAACCACTGCGTGACCCCACGGCTCTGCCTCCCAACCTTCAACGGCACCCCTACGCCAAAAGCGAAGGCACTGCGATTTCTGTTGTTTAATCCGACCCCGGGGATGCCTAAAAGAAGGATGTGCCCCCATGTGCGGCACATCGGGAATGGGGGTGTGACACTTGTATTTCTCTCCAACCAATCTGAGAAGGCTCTGAGGCCCAGGGAACAACTTAATTTTGAGGGGAGAAGCCCAGCTCGGGCAGGTCAGGGTGCAGGCTGATTTCAGCCAGTCACCTAAGTGCCTCCATGAGATCCTGAGTCCCTCTGCCCCTGTTGGAGGTCCCCGGGACCCGACTCCTCCCCACTACCTAAAGCAGCGAAGCCTCACACGGTGGGCCAGCCCCGCTCCAGCACTCCGGTGCCCGACGGGCTGTGGAACATCCCAAGGATTGCCCCTGCTCAGCTCCGTGCTAACTGCACAGCCACGTCCAGGATTTTCAGCTATGTGCTGCCCAAAGTCTCCCGAAAGGGACTGTGGATATTAAGGCCATAATTCTCACACAACAGCAGCAAAAAAGACACTCTCATGCTGATGCTTACTCTTGCACCACAGCCTTAAAGCCAACTTGTGCAGAATTCAGGCACAGGCCTGAAAAGGTTGAACACACCTACGCGCGAAGTTCAGACAGGAAGTCTTACCCATAGTTAAAAATACTGTCGTAGGAAGGTGGGTTTTCACTGGGAAGCAAACCGTTAGGCCTGGGACTTTGAGTTACTGCAGAGGCCGACGACTCAGGAAAGTAAGGTGGTGGAGGGGCCGGGAAGATTATCACAGCATCACCTGAGGAAACACAGATTTCAGTGAAGACAGATGAGGAATAAATGTAAGCAAATTAGCAAGAGCAAAATAAATTAGTTATATATTTGGCCCACCTGTATAAAAGGTCAAAACACCTGCGCTAACTCCAGAATTACAAAGTGGGCCTATCAAACTCGCAGAGACAGAGAGCAGAGGTTTGCAGGCGCTGGCACCGAAGCGAGCTGGAGCTGGTGTGTCGTGGGGGCACAGTTCTGTCTGGGACAGACATTTCACCCAAGCTTTACAAAAGAAAGTCCAATTCCAAGAAAAGTTTGTTTTTTGCACTTCTGTTGCTACTGTTCACTCCAGCACTCATCTCTGTGTTTGGGGGAGAACGTAGGGACCAGATGCAAACTCTAGTTTGGACTCCAATTCCAATACAAAAGGCACCAGGTGAGTTGCCCAGAACATTCCAGACCAGCAGCAGCACCTCTACGTAGAGGTCACAGCACCGAATGCCAGCTCAGGACAAATGCGGGAGGAGGGAGCCCTGGACCATGCTGCAGGGACGAGGCTGGCTTGCACCGGCGGCAGCTCTGACGCCGGCCAGGGCGGGTGCAGGAGTCTCTCAACCTACCAGGGTTCCACTTGCCAATTAGCAACCCAGCGTGGCCCTGAACAAGTTACTCAACTCCTAGGCCTCAGCAGCCACATCTGTAAACGGCAGGCCGTCAGTGTGCCTGCCTGGAGGACAGGCAGGAGGACTGTCCCAGCCGGGACACGCCTACAGAGGGGCGCTTGTGTGCACCAGCCGGTGGCACTTCCGCACATGTCTGAAGAAACACTCTCAGCTGGCAGTCCGGCCAGGGGCTCAGCTCGCCACCTCGGTGCCTCGTTCACTTCCCAGAGGTAACTCAGCCCCTCAGAAAATGCCTTAACCCCACTTCTCCTTCTGCAAGATGGTAATTAGAGCTGAAAACAGACACCAATAACGGAAACCTGATGGAGCCTAATGGCTGCCTTGGGACTCCATTTAATTTTTTCGAAGGTCTTGGTGGGTCAGAGGAAGGAGGCTGAGTGCTCACTCTAATTACACATTGTAGGACAGAGGATCTGGGCACCAGCCTCTAAAGCAGGCAGAGCACCTACCAGACAGAAGCAAGGAAGTGCTCCAAGTCGCCAGTGATCTCCGAGGCTTATCCCCGCCTCCGTCCAGCCAGCTCCACCCCCCCAAACCTTGCCACCTGCTCTCCCAGGAAGGAGGTCCCATTCCCCTGGGCTTCCCTTTCCCTGTGTCCTGCAGGAATGCATGTCTCTGTGATTGACAGCACGCACCCCTCACAGGAGGGCTGTCTCACGCACCTGCTTGTGTAGCCAGGGTCCCACACCAAGCCCACCACGGGACATCAAGTGCCTTGGGTTGTCTATTCTAGGGTGGGGGGTCTTCCATTCTGGAAACAGCTAAACTCTGGCCTTAGCCGAGAACTGCCTCTTATCGCCCCAATTCCCTCATGGGGCAGAACTGGCCAAAAGGCATGATTTCTAAATATTTAAACCCTATCCCATAATGTCAAAGGAGAGGAAAACAAGGAGTCAGGGTGCCAGGATTTCACAGCTTTGACGGGACCTAAAGGGTTCAGCAGAAACCATCAGGAAAACCGCGGTGCCAACATCAGGACAGAACCAGCAGGAGTCACAGTGCCCCAGCACCCCTGCTCCCTGCTGCCCCCCGATTCCAGCCACCAGGAGGGAGCCGGGCCCCGAAGATCCCCTGATGGTAAACCCAAAGGGCATGCTCGAAATGCTCCCCACTAACGGCAGACTACGAGCATCGCATGAGTGTATTTACTGGACCCCACTGTGTTCCCCGAAAAGACAGAGAACATCTATAATGTTGGGAGCCCTTCTGTCACATCACCACCCAGCACGCCTGGTGAAGGATGAAACCAGACACGGAATGACAGCCCCGTGCCCCGGGCAAGTGCTGTGCCAGGGCCATGGTGTGTGGTGCCCACCGCCTGGGTCTGGATCCTGGCTCTGCCACTCGCTAGTCTGTGACCTTGGGCAGGTGAGTTGACGTCCCTGTGCCTCTGTTTCTCCATCTTTAACACGGAGATACTAAGAGTGTCTGCCTCAGTGGGCTGTTGTAGGCGTGCAACAATTCACACACAGGCCCTCAGAGAGCACACGCTTCAGCACTTAGACGGGTGTTTGGTCCAAGGATAAGCCCTGTATATGTTAGCTATCACTAATGCATAACTAATACCAGTGTTGGCACCGTAAATATATAAGTGCACTAATAAGTAAGCTGGGGGCTTCAACCCTGGCTCAACGTGAGGACTGTCTAGAAATCCACCTGCCCTCCCTCTCTGTGACCGGTGCCACGCGAGCCCACAGCCCCCAGTGAGTACTGCGGCCCTGGCAGATAGCCCCAAACAGGAGAAGCGTCTCACTCGCCACACTCCTCTGTTCCCTCCACGGCTTCTGCTCTCTAATCCCCTTTGCCTAGTCTTTTAGATGTCAAGGCTGTGGCTTCTGAGTTTTATCCTTTCAAAAGTAAGAGACTGAAATAAAAACAGGGATTTGCAAAAATGAGCAGCAATGGGGTTTTTCCTTGGTTGTGTGACGCTGAGGCCAAAGCTACCGATGTTCTGTGGGGGCTGACTCTTGGAAATGGTAATCCGGCTCTTCTGCAGAACCCGGGGACCCAAAAGGAACCTGTAGGCATTCCATGTGGGAAAGAAGTGACAGGTGCTGTCACATATCATCTTCGTCGCCTATGCCACTGCTCCTAAACTTTGCCCAACCCTGAAGCCAAGCATGGAGTTAGAGAAACTGAACAATGTGCAAAACAGTGCAGAAGGCCCTCTCAAAACAGAGAAGGCTGAGGGACCTGGGACAGACTCAGAATCCTAGGGGCAGTGCTGGAAGGAATCTCAGAAATGCAATGCTCGTTTTACAGATAGAGGAACTAAGGCCAGGAGAGGGTAAGGACCTTCCAAGGACAGCCGGCCCGTGACAGCCAGGGACAAGAAGCCACGTGTCCAGTACCAGGAGTTCTCAGTGTGAGGATAACTGGGGAAACAAAGTCACCGGGCAGGGCCCTTGGCTGACAGAACGCTCCCAAGCTAACCTCACGGCTCCTCTCCCTTTCCTCTTAATTTGCTCTGTGACCCCAGTCAAAGTCACAACTTCATGTCCCATGCTTTTGCTAAATAATACGGAATTGCTGGGGGGAAATGATGTATGCAAAGATTCCCGTGGGGCTTCCCACAGCAGCGGCACTGTGTGTGTGTATGCATGCGTGTGTGTGAGAGAGAGAGACAGAGACAGAGACACAGAGAGAAGAGACACAGAGAATCTAGACCAGATCTGAGGGCAGCACATTGAAGCCTTGATGCCACAGCCACTGTGATCTCAGCCAACACAGGAAGGACAGCCACCCACCTACAGTGACCTGGACGGGCTCTGTGTTCGGGGTCTGTCTCTCTTCACATTCGGAGGCATCCTGGCCCGCAGTCAAGTTGTTTCTCTTCTTAACATGGGCAATCACGAAGAAACACAATCCCACAAGTACAATCAGCGGTCCCATGATCTGCAGGGACAGGAACCCGCACATGGGGGGCTCCATGGCGGTGGTGTCCGTCTTGTTCAGTGGTTCTGGCGCCCAGTCTGAGCCACATCCAGGGACCCAAATGCCCAGGATGCTGACAAGCATGCCGCTCGTCAAGAACAGAAACCCAAAGATGACGTACTGGGCAAACTGGCGGCTCTGTCCACAGAGGAAGGCTCGGTTGGGGTCTGCCCTGTCACCTCGCCGCCGCCCCTCACGGAGCTGAAGTTGTGCCCGGGAGCGGGCCAGGATCACAGCCCCCAGGCCAACCGCGGCACACGCAGGCCCAGCGACCTTCAGCACCATGCTGCAGTCTCGGAGGGTGTTGTGCTGGCATGCCTGGAACCCAAAGATGGAGAGCAGGACTCCCACACACAAGAGGATGGCACCCAAGACAGAAAGGAAGAAAATGAGCTTGCTGATGTGCCTGTCTCGCTGGACCCCATCTGGCTCAGCAGCAGCTGCAGGAGACATGGCCAGGAGAGGCCCCTTCCCGAGGTGCAGTGGGATGTGTTTCCTTCCCTCCAATGGTTGCAACAGCTCTGCAAACACAACCAAACACCACATTAAAGCGCGCACAGGTGCTGCTGACCCACCCTGTTCTCCTGCTGGCCATCTCAGAAATCCCGCCAGGATGAAATCACAGGGATAGAATGCATGCGACTAACACTGGAGAGCAATGAGCTGGTTTGTGAGTCAGAAGAACTGGCATTCAGAAACTCCTCAATATGTAATTTTACCAAGATAGTCAAGAAGAGGAAATACAATTACCATGCACCTAAGAGTATCTTTTAAAAAACAAAACCCCTACAACAAAAGTAATTGGGTGTGTCTTTTCCTGTTATGAGTCTTAAAAACTCACTTCCCCTGGCAAAAAATCAATGGCGAGTGAGGGAAGAACCACAGGGATTATTTCTGATTTACCCACGTCCCCATTTCATCGCAGCTGCTCTGAGCATTTCCAAGTCGGTAAATCTCCGTTCAGTAACGAACGTTCCATTTCCTGTTTCAGACTGTGGCAACTTTCCATTCTGTGCTTTAATCTAAGGCTACCTCTGCAGGAGACCCAAGTTCAGCAGTTTCCACTGAATGGGAAGGTGATTCAGGAACGCAGTGGATTTGGTGGATTTTAAGTTAATTCTGCCAAAATGTGATTCTCGAGTTCTCACACAGGCACACTCTGGGGCTGCCTTGGCCTGAAATCCGGTGGCCCGGCTGCTGGGGCCTGGGATGACCCCAGTGAGTCTGGCACAGCAGGTCAGGTAGAGTCCTGTCCCCGCGGTGGGCAGGCGGCCTCTCACCCACCCTCCTCCGTGGAGCCACCACTTCCACAAAGAGGTTGAGGCTCAGTTAAAAACAAGCAGCAGATAAAATCGCCAGTGAACAACCCTAAACAGCAACAGAACTTGACGCTGAAAGAAAAGCCCGAGTGCAATCCGGTGGGAAAGCCCTTCCACACGCTCACCGGCCCGGTGCTCCAAGGGGACCGTGTATGATACCAGCCCCGAGCCCTCGGTAAACAACTGTCCAGTTGGCACAGGCCGACTTTATGATCCACCTACCTCCTCTCACTCTCACGGATGGGACATTTCCCCAGGACCCTTCCAGTCAGGACACTCAAAAAGACAACCCAAGTGTGAAGACCACTTTCACTTGCTCCGGGAAAGAAAATTTCTGAAATATTGTGTGCCACTCACATCCATGGTCACACGAAGGAGCTCAAGACTGAGGCTTTAAAGCCAAGGCCATCTTGACAAACCCAAATCATGACCACGTAGGGTCAGTCTAGGAAAGAAAGCCAACGGCTGGTCTTATACTAGGAAGTACTCTCCAGGAAAAAGCAGATAGAGGCAGGAGGAAGTTGGAGAAACAAGGAAATGTAGGAGGGAAATATGTTTTCATTTTAAATTTGCACAAACTGTATGTATGAAGATGCAACGAGCTGAGACAAAGACGTAAAGGAAGCACTGCACTAATCTGAAAGAACTGTTTGAATTGTGCAATGTCTTTTGCTGGTTCCGGAGATAAGGGTGGTTCTCTGCTACCAAGTCCCATCAGGAATTCATTGTACTCCTGGTACTTTCAACTTTGAAGTGAGTCACAAGGCTTCAGACGTCTTGAGGCAAATTCCCAGATACTAGTGCAGCAAACAGCAGCCTAAAGGTGGGTTTGCAGCTGCTTTTCCATGGACTAGTGGACGCAGCCTGTGTGCATGTGCCCATCCAAAGTGTGTGGGTAGTCGGTCAGTCTGTCTGTCTCTCACAGCTGCACTCACAAACGGACACACAAACATCTGCACTAATAGAAGATTAATTCTCCAAACACCAACCCACACTTAATCTCCCGGAAGCCGAATGCCCCTCCCCAACACCCTGTCGGTTTTCCAAAGGGCGTTTCGGCAGCATCTCACCACGTTCAACGCTCCGGTGGTTTCGGGGCTCTGGTGGTTTCGGGGCTCTGGTGGTTTCGGGGACCGAGGCAGAGGCAAACGTCTTTCACGGGAGGTAGCTTTGGGGGCTGTAGGGGGCCCGCGGGGCCCGCGAGCGCGGGGAGGGCGGCCGGCCGCTTACCTGAGCTCCGTCCTGCGCGCGCGCTGCTGCGCCGGGCGCGTCCG